GTATTAATGTCAATTGTCTGTTCACGTCCATTTTCAATATGTGCTTCATATTTATAGAAGGCAAGTGCTCATTTGAACAGACAGTGTATATGCATGAAGGAAAGAATCATTTCAGAAAACTTTTTTTTTTGGTGTACAGTGTATATATTTTGAGCAGGTGGAAATGTAGTTCGTTTTTTTATCTGTACATATCATTATGGAGCATTGAACACAAGGCGAAATAATTATAATATATATGCAATAAAGAAAGAGGCAGAGGTTCCTCCTCTTAAATGATTTTGGCATTTCCACCCTTAAATACCATACGTCCCAAGCATATATATACATGTGTGTACATATATATATTTTCAAACTTAAATATAAAGAAAGAAGCAAACAGGAACAAGCAAAAACAGACACAGAAAAAAGAAACAACCAGGAAAAAAAACAAACAACAAAACAAATAGTACAAATTTTTATTAAAGTTGAAGTGAATGATGAAATAACGTAACTCATGAGCATTATTGATAATATAAAGGCAAGAACACTCGCAAAATGTTTTCATGGAGGCTTCCAATTTATTATTCTTTTCTTTTTCAGTTCAATTTTATGTACACACATTGGTTATTTTATTTTTTTTTTTTTTGGAGCTGTATCCATTACATTTGTTGTAAGTGGTGCGCGCAATTTTGTTCAGGCTTTTTTTTTTTTTTTTTTTGTTCTGTTCATTTCATTTATACAAATATTTCCTAATTTTCTATTCGTTATTACAAGTCAACGCATGCTTGTTAAGAATTATGTATAATTCTGCTCTTATTCTTTCTCTGCTTTTTCTTTTCTTGGACGACATGAATTACACGCAGGGTGTGTAAAGTCATGGGCTTAGGAAAGTGTGTCTACAAGCATGTGCCAACAAAATGTCCACCCACAAAAAAACGACTAACAATGTAAGACGGTACGGGTGATCGAATTAAATATGTTTTGAGGGAATAAGTCTGGGATTAAAGTAATATGTATACCGGCGAAAGGCTGTGAAGAGCGATTTTTTCCAACGTGAACGGGCAGACAGTGTCCTTTATGGATTGCCGTCATCCTCCAGTATTCAGTAAAATACCAGCACAAGACCAATCACGGGAAAAATGGAATAGTACGGGTCAATACAGAATGCTACCATACCCGCCCACCAGCTATGTGCTGCCCAAGCACGGTACCAAAGGCGCAAATTTTATTGATGAACGAAAACAAGCGCGAGCGGCGTTAAACAATTGTTCACAGCGAGCGGCGAAGCAGCATGGAATTATGGCGCTGATGGTAGTAGTAGCAAGCCGTGGGGTCTGGATTCGTAATTGCATATAATTCCAGTGTCCAATACAACCGGAAAAAGGGAGCATCCATTAACCGCGTTTTAGAAGCACAACGGGACATGTTGATTCCTTGTAGAGTGCACTGGAAGGTGTGTGTCATATTATAACACAAAAAGGGGACATGCGTTTTTTTAGAAGGTACGGTACGATTAACGTTTTTACGAAGAATACGGCCACTTCAAAAGAAGCGTGTATTTCCATGTATACAAAAATCTTGAGCGAATCCCACGGAACATTACACGTCACGTAGCACATATCGGCGAACAGATGATACAATATATTATCTGCGCAAATGGGCCCTATTATTGTGCGGGGAAAACTTGTTACATTGTTTTACCTTTACAATGTGCCAGATCCTCCTCTTGTTGTGTATATCAACGGTAAGGAGTAACACCGTTTCATTTGGCACTGTTCAAGTTTGTATACGCAGATGAAATAAAGCAACAATACGGAAGGAAACAAGAAAGGGAAAATGTGTTACATATTATAAGAATAGGCACTGTATGAATTAACTCAGATCATCATTGTGTACTATATATGTTACACATATACGATGTAACAAATAATTATTCGCTATATATACATACACAATAACAGAAGGACGCATGCTTTTTTTTTTCAAATGCTTTATGCTCCCATCATGTCTATGGACAACTAATTACACAGAAACAAAACAGAACTATATGTGCATGAAATATTCATATTAGAAAAAACGTAAACCATATTATAATGTAGAAAACGGAACTATAAAGCTAAATGCTATAAAGGAAAAATAAGCCATGTCATACAAAATGTATACCATATCATATGAGGGTCAATCGAATAAATATATAAAAGCATACAGTAACGTTAAAGTTGCCTGCCGGAAATGCAATGCAGGAAGTTAGTTATGGTTTCTTATGTACATCTGGTTGCTTCGGTACCTCTGATTTTTCGGCAGTACCTCCGGTTTGTGATATTCCTTCGGATGAAATTTTGGTCTTTCAAAATTTTCTTCGGCACTTTTGCCTTCGCTTTCGGTAGCAGCACCGGAATGTCAGAAGTGAGGACATACTGATTATACCCATTCCAGCTGCAGTGGAGGCTGTGGCAACCCCATATGCACACCACTTTCCTATGTTACCTGTAAGCACAGCTGCACACTCAGCTACACCCCCACCTACAAACGCAACGCCACAGCCAACAGCAACGATTATTATAGTGTAAATGACAATAGCCACAACAAAGAACTTGCAGTACCTATATGTAATATATGTAGCCAATTTCCGTCTACTACAGCCTCTTCCGCTTTTTATGCTAACTGCTTCATTCTGCTTGCCATGCTTTGTGCTTTCGCTGATTCCGGTGCTTCCAGTCGTTCCTGTAAATTAGGCGTGTGGAATAGGATTCGATGAACATTCTATGTCCCCAACCAGGCGTTTGTTTTTGAGGCGGAAACAGCTGCACATACAACTTTCGACAAAATTTGTATTTTCTCTCGTCGTGTTTGCGCATATGCGTTTTACCTGAACCCGAAGATCCTTTCAGTTCCTGTTTCGTTTTTCGACTTTCTTTTTCATTTTGTCCTTTATTTTGTAGGGATGGCGACAATGACCCTTGTGCACCAACCTTCGAAAGGGATGTGCTAGACTTTTCAACTGACGCGGAGACTGCTACATCGGCGGATAATGTGTCGCCGTTATGGACTTCTTCTTCCCTTGCATCATGTTGTATTTTCCACTTTCTTTCATAATGCACTTGTTGTGGTACCTCGTACTCCACTATTTTCCATTCTTTTAGAATAGTTCCTGCTCCGTCTCTATAACATCGTTTTTTTGGTGTCGTCCATTGGTTGCGAGAATATATTCGTTTTGGGGGGGATTGATAGGTTGGTGCATACGGTTCGTCGACATCGTCGTAGGCACCGTCATAGTGTTCGAATGCCATCGGATCTAATTCAAGCTCATCTTCTGATGCAATTGCTTTAATTTTTGCTAAACTGCGGGGAACTCTGTTATGTACGCGTAATTTGGCCACATGTTCTTCCTGTGTTTCGAAGTCATCTGGATGCTGTAGAAAGGGGAAGCGCAGAGGAGTGGTGATGAGTTGTATTAATAAAGGAATGGCAATGGAGAAAGGAACAAAAAGGGGAAGTAAGAACCGGAACGGAAAAAATATACATATAAATATTCGGGCATATTGCGTACGCCATATATGTAGCCGACCGCGAAACATTCCAGCCTACATCTATATGTGATCATGTAATCTTTCATACTGGGCTTACCGTTAAGCAGATGCAAGCAACAAGAAAAAGGATAGCAAATTTGTTGGAGGAAAAGAACCTGTGTGCCTTTTTTCCATTGATTTCAGCTTCTTCATTACCTGCGGAATGTGCTTTGCCATGTCGGGATGGCGACACTCCTTGCGGAACGTGGCTTGTCGATGTTTGTTTTTGGTTTAGGTGTACCATGTTGTTAAGGATACTTATATAAAAAGCAAATGTACAGGGGTAGTGTGCTTTTCGCTTTTCTTTTTTTAATTGCGCTACGCCTAGGAGGATATTATGATAAAAAAATAAAAAAAAGAAATAACAGAAATTAAATGAACACAAAATTTGTTGCTTTCACCTCAGAACATAGCAGTGTGAGAAGTGTTGTGCTTCTTGCTTTTCTTTTTTTTTTCTGGATTGACGTATATAGGATCCTGTTGTAATTTACTTTTCCATCAATCTGCATATACATAATTATTTCTATTATTGTGCAAAATGCACAAAAAAAAAATAAAACGAAAAATGGAATTATGTCAAAATAAATTCATGTTACAACTAAAAGGAAATTATGCCAAAACAAAAAAAAAAAAAAAAAAACAAGAACAATGCACAGATGATACATTATTTTGAGCTTTAGAAAGGAGAGGGCAATTTTACAATGTGAATAATGTGTTGGGGCTGGAGTTGTAGGGTTTTAGATGGAAAATGTTGCTTTTGAAATCGACCATTACATATATTTAGGAGAATATGCGCAACTTACGGTTTTATTGCTTTTTTATACGCTCCGCATAATGCGCTGATGGATAAAAAATACTAGGTGCCTTAGTCAATCGTTTGGAATGAGAATGCGTTCAATCGCATTATTGTATAACGGAGATGCAAAAAAATTTGTTGTGCATGTAACATTAGCGCCAAAAAAAAAAAAAGTTTATATTTTAACTTATGAAAGGTTTGTGTATAGAGTATTTTTATACTTATGTGAAGAGAAAAAGTTACATATTATGGTAACATAATTTTCACATGTGGCGCACGCCGCGTCCGCCCTTTCACAAGGACCAAGGAAGAAAAAAGAAAAAAAAGAAGAGAAATACAAAACCCATATGTCTAGAATGACGAAGCTTGTGTAAGAGAAAAAAAAAAAAAAAAACCAGGAGTAGGAAGTAACTTAAGCGGCGTAACACATTATGTCATTAAACGAACCAAATGGGATGTAACTGTTATAACGTGCTACTCCCATTTATGTACCGCCCATCCTCGTGTCGCATATTTTGTAAACAATTATGTACATAATAACGCCTTCTCTTGCATACTACTGTCGAATTCTCAGTCTTCAATTATCGACGCGAGCAGAAGCATGCACAGTTTGGCGAGGGCGGTACATTGCTCCGTAATACGCAATTTCGGGTGTAGAATGGTGATACAGTTCTAGCTCTTTTACTCTTGTCAATGAAATGATTTCTTCATGAGTCCCTTTCGATGCGCACGGATTTGTTTCCATTACCACTCCCGACATGCCCCCTACTTCCAGTCCTGCGTGCTGTTTCTCGTGCTCTTCCACCCTCGGATATACCTGGATTTGCCATCTTTGTGTCGACCGGTGTTCCCTTATTGGCGTGTTTCTGAGCTAGTTCGGTTTGTTTTGGCTTGTGCCGGTTTCACCGCTACTGGTTTGGGCTCGGAGGCGGGTTTGGCAGCAACGGGTTTAGCAGCCGTAGCTGGTTTGACTACTTTAGGATCTGTAAAAAGATGATAAAAAAAACAAAGGACACCAGTGGTACAGAAAGAAGGGGGCCGGGACGGTGCGGGCAGGTAGCGGCAGGGTAGGTCGATTGCATGGATCGATGCATGGGTCGATGCAGTGGGTCGAGGTAGGACTCGGTGGACTGGATGAGGCGGCAGCACGCGTACGGTGAGGTGAACGCGGTCGACTGGGTCGGGATGGATGGTAGCAGTACACTGTTATTTGTTGTCGCCATCTCGTCCGCCGTCCCGCTCCATCCGTCGTGGGCGCCACGCTCCCCGCTCAACCGAAGTGGGGCACCGCAGCGCGCAACGTCCACGAAGTCGTTTGCTGTGCTGTTGTTCCCCCGCGTGTGCGTGTGGTGGAGGCATCCATCCGCAGGCTTATCGGTGGCGGTAGTTTCCGTACCGGCCGTGTTAGTATGCGCCGTATACGTATTTGGCCGTGTGTGTACTATGCATATTCGTAGTGCTGGTATTCTTAGCACTCTGTCGCTTTACTCTTCTTACCACTCGCGTCGTCCTCCTCCGGGTCCTCATCATCGCCATCGTCCTCATCGTCGTCTTCGGAAGGAACTGGCCCCCGTAGTGTCTTTACTTTCTTCCCTACTTTCTTTAATATACGCTTCATTCCTTTCTCCATTGCTCCCCTCAATTGTCCTTCTTTCAATAATTCCATACGTCGCTTCCAGTGGTCAGATGTCTGTTTCCCCGTACTTTTGCATTTTACACGTTCCTGTAACTGTTTCATCTTGGCCTTCATTTTTGCATTCCCCATTATCCATTCATCAAATTGTTCGCCTATCACTTTTCCTCCTACTCTCAGGTCATTATTAATCACCCAGGTACACATGTTAAGATTAACAGCATTAGGCACAGTGGCCATAAACTGGTCTAATATGTGCAACGCCTGTCGTATACCTTGATTTCTGCCACAGTTTGCTTTCATTAACTGGAACATAAATACATTCACAATTATGCACCGTATATATGTCTGTAATCTATCACCTGCAGCCGAAGCATCGTATCCCCCATGTGGACCCAGCCCCCATCCATTCATGAAAAATAATGCCGGCACCATCATTTTGCATACAACTTTGTCGTCAGCATTATGCCAATTTATGTTTCCCTCCTTCCACCATCCTATATCATCACACGATATGGAATATAATTCAGCATCATTCTCCACTTGTTCAAGAAACTGGTCCACGATCTTTTTCATATCTGCCCATATTTGTCTCTGTAAAGGGTAAAGTAGTGACCCCGAATGTTTCAACGGCATAATGCTGCTAGTACATGACGTATGTGAATACTCATAGTTCAATAGTTGCTGTCCAAGCACTCATCTTGTACACACAATGCCAATGCAATATCCGCCATACTCATATATATATTCCCGTAACACACTTTCCTGGTGAGCACATCACTGCACTGACCTATGCGCTCCGTGCGCTGTGCTCTTTTGCATTATGTGCGTACCATAACCTACCTCGTAAAAACCTTCAATTCCCTGTCCTTGCCTGCGTATTAGCCACTCTGCCAGTAATTCTACGAATTGCGCTGCCATGATACTACTACATAAATAGAGCACTATTCATGCGCTTCGCATATCATTACAGTATCTAATGAATGTGTTATGCTCGAATAGGCTATACCGTTGACTATGATACTGCCTGGTGTGCATGAATCATAGGTTTCCCCTTTCTCATTTATGCTAGCTAACATGTACACACTACAAATTTTTAATTCATTCAACTGCTGCATAGGCGTGCCATACAACTGAAAAAGTGGAACAGACGAAAAAGACTGAAGGGCACGCATAAGAAGAATAGAATGAAGAGTAGAAAAAGGGAGGAAAGAGAAACAATGTAAAAAAAGAGACAGAAATATGTACAAAAGGAAAGACGCAGACTATTTACAAAATAACTGTGCCATCAGGTTATAATCCCAATGCGTAAACTAACCTGAGTATATGAATCAGAATAATCTGCTACTATACAATATTCTGCATGTACTGCTTCCTAACGCTATATACTGCAAATAACTGTGCCATACACTTCAATTCCCATAACTCACTTATCAAAAAAAGAAAAAAAGAAAAGAAAGAATAGAAAGAACAAAAAATAAAAGAAAGAAAGACAAGAAAAAATAGGAAAAACACTACTCACTGTCATGAATACACCCGCCGCCCCCCTTTCTACACCGGTCTCCACTAAACGCCTTCACACACTGTCTCTCTGTGCGTACACCTAAAACCGCAATAACAACATCAATGCTTCTGCCGTCGTTGCCGCGTCCTCGTACATGCATTGTCCTAGTAAGAAGGAGGAGATTATCTCCGAGCAACGGCGTTCGATGTAGTCGCCGAGTGTAGCACGGATTCGACGAAGTAGCCGAGTGTAAGAAGGAGGAGTATTGTCTCTCCGAGCAAACGCGGACGGGTAAACGGGATTGCCACCGAGTGAACGTATTCGACGAAGTATCCGCGTGTAAGAAGGAGGATAGATTGTCTCTCCGAGTGAAGCGATTCGACGACGTGGCCGGGTAAAGTTTGTTCGAGTAAAGCATCCAGAGCAAGGGGGATCACAGAGAGGGAGCAGCGCGCGGGGGACGCGGAGCAGGGAACACACATATTTTGTGGGAAGGCGCACAAGGACCGGTAACGCCCGTAGCAACGACGGTAGCAACGACGGCAGAAGAATTTGATGTTGTTGTTACACTGGGTTGTAGTGTAGAAGCAGGGGGTATTTGTTGTTAAGTGGGGTTATTGTGCTTAATGTTGCTCGGGTTAAGGATTTATGTTAGGGATATTGCTATTAAGCAATTCAGTGCACACGTGTACATATTTTAAGTATGTAGGAAGTAGGATATCCATGGAAGGAATTATACTCCTGCCGGATAGCATTATGTTCATGTCCAGTTCAAATAAGACTCTGAGGCAGCCATATATTATGTCAGGCGCGTAGGACGATCATGGCGAAATATGCAGAAATATTATGGGAAGAATATATTAAAAACAGGAATATAGGGGTGCAGCACAAGGATGATAAGGATTTTAACGTAAGTTCTTATATATATGAGGAATGCGAGGAACAAATATGACTAGTAATACATGAGTATATTCGGGCTAAATGCGAGAGCACGCGAAAAAGATGTGCGTGTGCATATTGTCGACCCATATAATTTCTTCAGAGTACATGAGCAAAAGAGAGTATATGTGCAGCAGAGGAGTGTAGTGATATGTAACAGTATATATAGGGAAGGAGCACACGCAATGCAGTGTAGTTTATACATGGATATATCATGAATATTATACCTGTAGAAACTATTCTGGAAAAATGTGGAGATGGTATGGCAGCACTTTAAAACACATATGGGCAGTATGCACCATGATTTAATACTAGAAGAACTGTGTGGGACCTGGCACGAGAGGAGGGACGGGGAGGAAGCGAAGGGGGCATTGACTCCGAGGGACAAAGCAGTATGCGAGTTAGCACTTAAAGCTTTAACTTTTAAACATAGAATCACATTAGATGCTCCAAGTACAACGCACACGACCTTAGGCACGGACAAACATGAGGTGGACCTTTATATGCGGTGCATTTTAGTAAATATATTTATGAAAAGAATAATAGGCCTGGATTGTCTAGAGAAAGGTGGCGGCGAAAATGCGTTTAGAGCAGCGGAAGCGCTGGTAACAACAGGGCCCCAGAAAGCGCCCAATTTTGCATGTGAGCGCATGGACATGAAGGATAAAAGTGGGAGGACGGGAGAAACCGGAGAATGGGATTTATGGTACATAATGGATAGATGGTTCACCAGGAACACATTAGTGTTAAGGGATGGGCAGCAGGGGGTGTTAGGACCGCATTGTACGGTAGAAAGAGACAAGAGTGCACAAGACATAAAGGCACGCGCGAATAAAAAAATTGAGGCAGTGGGGCAAGAACTAGAGCAGGAGGTGCAACAAATATTGGATGCAATAGAGACATCTCCGCACGGCACACGTATGGAGGATATAATACAGAAGGTGAACACCGGGGACTCCTCTTCGAAAACTCCACCAGAACACGCACCACCACCGGGGGAACAACAGGCAACACCATCATCATCCGGATCATCATCATCCACAACAACATCATCATCACCTGGCACGCCACAACCGGGTACTGCAGGTAACGTAGGTGGCACCGCCAACATCGCGCACGCCTCAAAACCAGCAGCTACATCATCGTCGGCCACACCATCACCAAAGGAACCGCCAGGTAAGGACCGATGGGAGCAGCACCAATACGTACGACTACTGACCGTACGAATACGCCCCGCACACGAACACGAATACCGACCGTACTGCCGAATGTGGATGCCGCCATCACAACAACAACGCACATGCGGCGAGAACAGCACAACAGCACAGCGCGGCACCCCTTCGTTGACGTTGAGCACAGCGGCCACGACGGCAGCGATATCCATAGCCGTAGCGGCGGCCACTGTGTAGACGACATGTGACAGTGGTGCGTGCGATGGAGCGACCGTGAGAGAGAGTGCATGTAGACATTAAGCAAGCAGGCATCGAGGACGGAATAGAAGGAAGTGTGCAGACATGGGAAGTCTGTGTGGATTGCACGCAGGCATACCTTACCTCTGCTCTCCTCATGTTGCTATCTGATGCACGGGAGAATGCACATACAATCCTAATAATTATTATCCTTTTTTAGAGAAAAAAGTTCCTGTGGCACCACCGAAGAAAGTAGAAGCTCCACCACCTAAGGTATCAGAGGCACCAAAGGAGGTTGTTACTGAGGAGGACGATAAGACCAAACCACCAGAGCCAGGCAGTGGGACAGATGGAAGAGGACGCTCCGAGGACCCACCAGCAGGACCTGGACAACAACCCCCACTGGCGGCACCACCACCTGTAGTTACCGAATCACCCAAGGGTGCAGACCCTGCTAAGAAAGAAGACCAAACTGCAGGTAAGAAAAGTACTTGTACCAAGAATGTCACCGTATCCCACACGGCGGGATCAGGCCCAGGAAAAAGTGCTGAAACCATTCAGGAGGACTTGGGTGGGCAGGGTGGCATCACCATATCTATCAGTGTCTCGGACCCTTCACCCGAATGTTCAGACACAGGTAACAGTGTTCCACACGAACGTACTTCTGAGATTGCACACTGTATGGCAGCACACCCGGTGCACCATTAGCAAAAAAAAAAAACAAAAAAAAGCCACAACTTTTCCGGAGAGAGAGCGCGACAAAACAAAACGTCGAATGAGAATGAGGGGCAGGTACAGAGCCGTAGAGACGTAGACAGAGATACACACACACACAGACTGTGTCTGTGTGTTGTGTGTGGCAAAAAGAGAGTCTTTTCCCGGGGTGGCAACTTGCCCCTTCCCCGACGCCTGGCGCCGTTCCCGTGGCACCAATGGTGCCAACCATCACCGTCAGCGACTGACCACGTAGTCAACCATGACCATGCACCGCACAACACTTGAGTTATTTCCATATTCTTCCTTTTCGTTCAAACTCACAGGTACTGCAAATACACCGGACAAGACAGGTAACGGTGCGGCGGATTCACCGCCGGCAGCCGCCTCCGCACCGGCAGCAGTACCACCAGCAGACCCACCAGCTGCACCAGAACCGGCGGAACCGTCCAATGCAGGTTCTACAGGAACATCATCAGACACAACAACACCATCAACAGGAACAGGACCAGACGGGACTAAGACTGATAAGAACGATGGCGATCCCGACGGCAATGCCGTCGTCGACGGCGGCAACGATGACCCTCCTCCTCCCAAACCACCACCTCAAGCCGGAAACCCGGAGCAGAACTTACAGCCGACGCCACCTGTAACCCTCATCTCGGAATGTACTGGTCTCCGCTTATTCGACACTGCTGATCCCCAGTGCAAGAATACGGAGAACTCTTCTTCCTCTGGTTCTGGACCTGACAGCTCCAATGCTTCGGCAGGTTCTCCCGAAGGCCAGTCTTCTAGTACACCCGAGGATGATTATCCTTTTGTCTTCGATAACATGTTCCGAACAGATGCAGGTAGCCCTGGGGGAGGATTTGTACCACTTAAGCCAGGAATTGAACTGCCCGATCGAACAAATGAACACCCAGGTCAAAATCCGGACGGTAGTGGCCCCCATGCACCCGATGTAACCGCCGATATCCTTACCGCCACTACTCCCGTACTCTTCTTCTTGTCCGCCGTCATCGTCGCCCTTCTTGGTTATTCCCTTTGGAAGGTAAGCACACACACAACGCACCAATATAACCGAGTGGAAAAAGGACCAACAACAGTTGCCATTCCCCTTCCAATGTTCCCAATAGGAAGGATAAACAACGTTACACTATTTGGATTACTCGACAACGAAAAAGAAAAAAAAACTTACTAGAGACGTATGTCCCGAAATGCGGGCAAGTGTATATATGCATCTTCATATGAATCTTACAAATAATTTACTTTTTTCCTTTAAAGAAAAAATAAATAACAATTCCACATTCGTATAAACGTAAAAAAAAAAAATACTTCTAATTAAAATAAATAAAAAGGAATAAAAAGGAAGACATACCCTAATTACCCTAGGTCCGTAATCTAAAATAATGCACAACAATATCGGTAAATATTGCAATCTTACTCATGCATTGTGTATACGATAATACTCTCATGGAAAAAGGGTTTAGATGAAGGCATTTATTTTTTAGAACACGTATGCATATTGCGCGCGCAATTATTTTAGGTTCCGCCATTGGACCTTACAAGCCGCTTATACAAAATTACAATGATTAGGTGCTTACCGGGAACATATTCCCTTTATTATGTACATACGCGTATTTTCTGCGCAAATCATGCATAACCTAAGTACATGGCTCCAGTTCCCATACGCCAAGGGATTACGATCATGGGAAAGAAAAGAGAGAAAAAAAAAAAAATAAATAAATAAATGAAATCGGCCAAATATGCAACCTGCTCATGTATTACCTCTTCTCATACATAAACCCCCTTTCTTAATTCCCTCATTTGGCAATATCACTACGTTGCTCAAATATTTCATCAAAAAAATATATATGTACTTAACGTTCCCTTAGGCTAAACGCCATTCTACTCAACTGCCCTCTTGTTCCTCTTGTTCCCACATAAATATAATACTGTTAACACAACAATACAACTATTAAAACTGCCTGACGACATTCGTATGAGTGAAAGATATATAATGGTACGTGCGCACGTAGCACTATCCTGAAATAATATACGCCTACCACATGTTATAACAGCTACATGCCGTTTTGTCGTCCATATAGATATAGTATTGCTCCAATCCCTTTCCTTCCCGCGTGCCCCTGTACATTCATTTTTCGCCCAATTTCCCACACGAAAACTACATTACCATACGAGATACATTTGCCTATATAACAATAGCAGAGCTGTTTACAACATACTCATGCAAGAACTCTGAATTTTCGTGCTTATCAAAGTACAATACATGTGAATAAAAATGATCTGATGCCTCCATTAAAAAAAAAAAAAGCATGTTCAGCACATTGTATACTGCAAATTACAAGGCTTACCAGCATGAATCACGGAACAACGTTGTATAAACGAGCAGAGTATGCAAATATCACAATAACGTCCGATCATTATGCATGGAGGCCTATATATATAACGCACTATTAAAAAAAAAAAAAACGCAGAACAATGTATATGGGTATCCATGAATTGTGAAGATTGAAAACAGCAGCTGGAAAGTCTAACCCCTTGCAAGCTTGAAAAACATGTCCCCCCCCCACCAAAATCATGAGTCCCTATATCAAAATACATAATAAAACATGAACAGTAACCCCTTAAAGCTCCAAACGCGTAATTCCTGACCCCCCGCTTACACAACTTCCATATGTCAGATTTGAACTTTATATTTTCTCCGGTACACTATATGTAGGGAGAAAAATCATTCTACATCTTTGCATAAAACACAAATTGCGCTAATTTTGCATTAAGAAACATTACGGCATGCAGCACTTATATCGCTGAAGATTTGTACAGTTTGTATAAATGCCATAAAAAAAATAGCTCCTTATACCACAATATATATATATATA